GATGGGAGTGTCAGAGACGGTGTGATTGGCACAGGACAGAGCAGAGTTTAGGGTTGTTGTACATAGGGTCGCTATGAGTCGCAAGCGACTCAATGGCACATAACAACAACAACAGTTCTTTCTCTTTTCCCCTGACTTTTTACCTTTGCAGTTTCCATTGTTCGGTCTTCAGCCTGCTTCTGGGTCTACAAACACTCCCTTAGAGATCTCATGGTTTCATAGACCATCATATTTCAGCAGGCCTGGCTTTAACATTTTCCCTCAACTACAGACTGTCTACTTACTAGGCACCCCCAGTTAGAGATCTAATGTTGTTGTGTACCATTGAGTCAGAACTGACTCATAGTTGACCCTCAAGCAGGTTTTCAGAGGCAGTAAATAACATAGGAAGAGATTGCCCATCCTTCTCCACGAAGCAGCTGGTGGATTCGAACCCCACGCCTTTAGGATTACAATTCAGCTTCTTGCCAGTAGGCCACTATAGTCAAATTGTCCTTCTTGCTGTTGCAAGGCTACACAGAACATGTTTTCACTTAAAAAGTTTTGCACTGGCTTTTGTCTCGGGTTGGAACTTTTTCCCACATGTAGACATGGCTATTTACCTGAACTTCTCTAAGATTACCTTCTTAATGACATGTATCAGTACTGTTGGTTTTTTTATTTTATTAGCAAATTCCCCTCTTCCTTTAAACCCCATTTTGTCTACTCTGCTTTTTTCTGAAGAACTCACATTTAACATGATACATCATTTACAGATAATCATGGTTTAAAATGTCTAAGAATAATGGTAAATATATATGTGACAAAATATTTGCCACTTCTGCATTTTACATGTACAATTAAGTGAAATCTTGTACAACTATATTATTTGCTTTCATATTTTTTCCATCACAGAAAGCCTTCTCCTAGAGCTGCTGCCCTTAGTTTGTACTTCTAGCCTCTTAAACTATAAGAAAATGAATTTGTTTGGTGAAGCCACCTACCCTGTGGTATTTTTGTTACAGCAGTACTTCTTAACTAAGATGTAATTATTGTTATGTGCCATCAAGGCACCTGTGACTCATTGTGACCCTGTCACAACAGCTCTGAAGCCTGCCCTGTCTCATTGATTCTGACACGCCTACCCCCCTGCCCCTCTTGCTCCAGTTATTTTGTCAATCCAACTCATTTGGGGTTTTCTTCTTCTGTGCTGTCCCTCCACCCTCTCAAACATGATATCCTTCTCCAAGGATCAGTCTCCCCTGGCCACATGCCCAAAGTATGTCAGACAAAGCTTCAAAATCCTAGTGTTCAAGGAGAAGCCTGGTTTGACCCACTCCAAGATAGATCTATTTGTTTTCTTGGCAGTCCATAGTATCTTCAAGACTCTTCTCCAGCACCACATCTCAAAGGCATTGATTCTTCTTCTTCTGTCATCCTTAGTCATTGTCCAGCTCTTTGATGCATAGCAAGTAATTGTGAAGACCATGGACTGGATCAGGTGCACTTTAGTCTCTAGACTGACATTGTTCCTTCTCAGTACTCTGGAAAGGTCCCTGACAACAGATTTACCTAATGTAATTCATCTTTTGATTTCCCGACTGATGATGCCAAAAGTGTTGGTTGTGGAGCCAAGTAAGCTGTAATTGTTAACAACCTCCATCTCTTCATCAACAATCATGGTGCTGCCAATTGGCCCAGGGGTGAGAATCTTTGTCTTCTTCATGTTGAGCTTCAATCCATATTGAACACTAGAGTCCTTGACCTTCTGCAGCAAGCACTTCTGGTCCTCCTCATGACTAAAGATAACTAAGATACCACTGTTGAGAATTAGGTCCCAAAGCATTACCTCCACATATTCTTCTAATATTTTTCTACTTTTAGATCTTTTATTTACATCTTTGAAACATTTTGTGTTACTTTTTGTGTATACTATGAGGTAGTGGTTCAAATTCATTCTCTTGTATGTAGAAAAGTAGATCCCAGAACCATTTCTTAAATAGACTATTTTTTCTCCATTAGCGTATTTGTCAAGGGACACTTGACTATAGAAGTATGGACTGATATCTGGATTACCAATTCTAAGCCATTTGCTTATATGTTTATGAATATTACACAGGGATCAGGATTTTGATTATTATTATTGTTATGTACCACGGAGTCAGAACAAATCCCTAGCTGAACCTCTGGCAGGTTTTCAGAAGCAGTTAATCATGTGAGAGAAGATTGCCCATCCTTCTCCTGTGGAACAACTGGTGGGATTTGAACCTCATGCCTTTGGGATTGCAGTGCAGCTTCTTGCTACTAGGCCCCCAGAGCTCCCTTTTTTATTATGGTAGCTTTATAATATGTTCTGAGACTAGAAAGTGTGAGCCCTCCTACTTTATTTTATCTTTTCAAGTTTGCTTTGGCTATTGGGGGCTCTTTAAAGTTTCATATAAATATGAAGTTTGGCTTTTCCTAATTTCAGTATTTGGGGTTTTAAAATTATTAGAAAAGTGCAACAGTGAGTGAATGACTGGAAATCCTAAGTCTCTGTAAACTTCATTTAAATGAATTTAAAAATGTAATAAAAGCATAAAAATTATTATTCTTGATTCTTTCCTATTTTCTACATGAACAAACATGTTACTTTTAGATGACTGAAATTATCCGATCTCATATCTCAACAGAAGGAGGAGGCGATGGAATCTGCTAAGGCTTTGGGAAAGGTCAACATTTAGAGCAAATTTGAAAAGAATGCTTGGAAGGAAAAAAGAAAATTAATGCTGGTAACACCTTACCAACCAAAGTCAAGCCAAACCCATTGCGGTTGAGTTGATCTCCAGCTCACAGTAACCCTGTAACTAGCTGCCTCTGAGGTTCCCTGGTGGTCGAGGTTTACAGGGGAGTTCTGGTGGCTTAGTGGTAAGGAATTACACAGCCAGATACACAGATGAACAGTTCTCTAGCCCACTGGTTGTTCTGTGGAAGGAAGATGGGTAATCCTCCCATGAGCTTCATAGCCTCTAAAGACTTGCTGGAGGCTCAGTTGTGAGTTGGTTTGGACTTGACAGCATGTTACAACAACAATAACAACAGTAACAACAAGAACGACAACAAGAACAACAACAAGAACAAATCTTTATAGAAGCAGATTGACACATCCTTCTCCCACTGAGTGGCCAGTGAGTTTAAAGCAGTGATTTTTTTTCCTCTCTTTTGCCTTTGAATGTCTTCCATTTTTAATTATAAGTTAAAGTTTAAAAAGAAATTTATTTTTCATTCACTGTGTATACAAATTTATCCTCCCTTCCAATTCTTTTCTTTATTCAGTAATAAAATCAGCCGTCTTTTAGTTAGCAGTCAAGCTCCAAGTCACTGGGCCACCAGGGTTCTTCCTATATTACTAAGTTGAGTCAATTCAGTGAGGAAAAATGTATTGTTCTGTGCTTGGCCTTTTCTTGACACAGGCCATAAGAAAAAGACTATTAAAACCTCCTGTGTATCAACTATTACTATGGCTTCTCCAAAAAGGAGAAGGAAGTACCTCTGTGAGCTTAGCATCAGTAGTTGTTTTCTGGACCACATAGTGTGCTTTAATCCATGCTGCTAACCAGAGGTCAGTAGTTCAGATTTCTTGGAGAAAGATGAGCAGTCTCCTCACGTGAAGATTTACTGCATCTGAAACCCAGTGAAGAGTCACTTTGGGCCAGAACTGACTCAATGGCATTGGGTTTTACCATGTGTGATCAGGGGTATCAATGAGAAAGGTCCACACCACAGAGATTGTTTTATCAGTGACATTGTTTAGAAGCCCTGATGATTTAAAAAGTAGACACATTTTTAGTTTACTTTATTTCAGTTTCTACATTTTCTTCAGAAACCATACCTCCTTATTTCTCTAAATCTTGAGGTAGACGTCTTCCTCTGCCTTTTCTTATTTATCTGGTTTTCATCCCAATGGCATTTTAAACAGCATGACACAGATGGGACTCCCATCTATGTCTTAGCTGCTAGAAAGCTTGGATGTTGTTATGTGCTGTTGAGTCAGAACCAACTCATAGCTGACCCTCCAGTGGGTTTTCAGGGGCTGTAAATCACACTGGAGGAGGCTGCCCATCTTTCTCCTGAAGAGCAGCTGGTAGATTCAAACCACTTGCCCTTGAGTTGGTAGGGCAGCTCCTTACCGCCAGGAAATCATGGATTCCAGCATATTTGCCTCTTTTCCTCAGACACTGGTCCCTGTTGTATACACTAGGCCTTGATCTTGGCTTCGCTTAGACTACCATTTCTTTTTCACTTCTAACTTTCCCTTTCTTAGACCATTTTAAATTCTTGTTATGTACTAAATTGTGAAGATCTTTGCAGAAACATAAGCAACGTAATAAATGGGCAGAATGATTTCGAATGCAAATACTGTAATCACACACAGCGTTCATTCTAGACACAAAACTTGCACTATTCAAAATGCAGCAAATTCGACTATGCTGCATTGAAAACCAAGGAACTCAAGAAATATTACACAAAATGGGTGACTCTGGAGGACATTATACTGAGTGAAATATCTCAGTCACCAAAGGACAAATACTGCATGATGCCACTGTTGTAAAACGGGACTGACATCGGGGTTGGGGAGAGACTGTTAAAGATGGGATTAAAAAATGTATTCTGCATTGAAACAGATGAGGAAGAAAACTGTTTAAAAGGGATATATGATTAATCATAATATTATCATGACAGGAGTCAGAATGAAGGCTGCATAGTGGAGTGGACCTGAGGGGAGGGATTGTAAAACTATGAAAGAATTTTTCTTTCACTTCCAAAGAGAAGGGCGAACTGGCGGGGAGGGGTGGGCAGGGAGAAAAGTGCAACAATGAATGAATGGAAATCCAAAGTCTCTGTAAACTTTCATTAAAATAGATATATGATAGATAGATGATAAAGTGGGGAAACCCCCAAAACCAAAATGCAGCCAATTCCCTCTAGAATGTGATTTGGGAAGGTCTCCTTGGAAAACCGCACTGTGTGGAATAACTCACCTACCCCAGCAGTGTGATCTCCCTTCGGTCCGGTGTATGAGGTGGGCGTCTCTCCCCTTCTCCTGTGCCAGCTGCTCCGGTTTCTCTTCTCCTGAGTAAACTCGCATTCATCTTGTTCAAAAGTGCATTCCCCAGGTGGAGGTGGAAGCCTCTCTGAAAGGAAATAGCAGGTGTTGCAAATGCTGAGGCATCTTCCCCAGCACGGCTCCCACAGCTCCCGGCCGGCCTGCTCTGCTCGTCCCCGGGCAGGCTGGCCGTATGCTCGGCATATGGAAAGGCGCCCACCAGCAGCCGGCTCCACTCACCGCAGCTCTGCTCCTGCCCTGGGGCAGAGAACAATTAAGAAGGCAGGCAAAACATACTGAGATACTTCGAAATAGAAACTTTGTCTAATGAATTTATTTGTGTGCCTACGCTGACAAATTTCTGAAAATTGGAGGCATATGTCTTCATGGAAATATGGGAAGTAATAAAGTTACACAAGGAAGGAACTTTTTAAAGTAATCCAGGATGAGTAAAGGGGGACCTCTCAACAATTTTAAGGTTATTTTGAAGTTGGGAGAGAATGTGTGAAAATGGCTTTTCTCAGTAATGGTTTTACCCCTAACATTTTATTTCTACATATACAATTCAGTGACTTTGTTTGGATCCTTCTAATTTATGTAAGCATTCTCACCCTCATTTTCTGACTTCTTGCTCCTCCATGAACGTACATTCACCAAACTCTGAGGTTCCTAACTAATCTTTCCAGTTGCTGTTGTCAATCTGATGTCCCCTCAGCATTCTTATCTGAAATGTGGGAAGATTTCCAGCGCCTGCCTCCTGGGGCGGTGAGGATGGAAGGAGTTATAAATGTATGTGAAGTATTTAGAACATGACGTTCCCAATATTTGCGAAACAAATATTAAGATTTGGCCTTTTCTCCCTTGGAATTTTATTTTCTGTTTCCAAAGATGAAGGTTTATGTCCTTGGACACTAGTTTTAATTATTATTATTAGAATGGAGCCACACCCCATTGTGTTGGGGACTTCTCCTTTTGCTGAACTTGGTTGTATCTCCTGATGTCTAGATTCTTAGCAAGAGTATTAAAAACACTCTCTTTTTAAAACTCTCTTGAATGAGAACTGTTGTATTCCATCTTGTTTTATCTAGGAAGAGCCCGGTGGTGGGGTGCATAATGCATCAGGCTGCTAGCCAAAAGTTGGGCAGGTTGAATCTCTTGGTGGCTCCGTGGGAGAAAGAGGCACAATCTCCTCCCAAAAAGGTTTACAGCCCTAGAGACTTAGTGGAGGGTGAAGGGTGGCTGGAGCGGCTGACTTTGCTGGATAGCAGAGGGTTTTGTTCAATTTAGATTTGACTTAAGTTTACATATGGCACAAGCTAATGAGGCCTCGTGTCTTCTAGGCCTTGAGAATTGAGATTCTTAGTTTTTCCTTCTTCACCTTGTCCTCGCATTGCCTGGCAATGAAAAAGACTAAAAAGATATCAGGGTGTGTGTGTGTGTGTGTGTGTGTGTGTGTGTGTGTGTGTGTGTGTGTTCGCGCGTCTTTTTGTTTTTATTTCTTTTACTGAAGTAAAACAAACAAAAATCCCCATTGCTGTTAGATCAATTCTAAATCTTAGCAACCCTGCAGGACAGATTAGAACTCTGCTGGATTTCCCAGGCTGCCGAACTTTACAGAAGCTAGCTGACTGCCACACCTTTCTCTCTGGAGCAATTGTTTGTTTGAAACACCAATTTTTCAATTAGCAGCCAAGTGCTTTAACTCCTGCATCACAAGGGCATCTTTGGAATGAAGTAAAAATAGATTATTCTCCAATGCGAAGCTGACATCACACATTATCTATCAGTTAAGAATTAGGTAAATATGGTATGATTTTGGTACGTAGTAGAAGTAACCAATAATTTGAGTTGAGTTATGCACTATTTCCTTGTTAGTTATAAATAATGTCTAATACATAGATGGCAGCATTTTTATTTTGCCACAATCAGAAGTACTTGGTCAACTGTTCCACTCTTGTTTCATTCACTTAGAGAATGTCTATCTTATTATCATTTTAGAGTATGTTTAATGTAGAGAGTCTGTAATCAGAATTGCATCAATATTTTTTTTAACATCTGCATTCATACAAGAAAATGACAATAATTAACACTATTAATTACAATAGAAGAAGTTATTTCCTTTCAAGGTAGTTTTATGCCAGGCTCTGTGCAAGGGGACTTATATGCATTATCACCTATATTCAGGTAGGAATTTCTTTTTCTATTACAAATGAGAATACAGAGGTTGTCACATGCTCGGAGTCTCATACTGTGTTCGAGTCACCATTTCTAAATTATAAAGTCTACTTTTTTGCAATTCTGGTGAGAAAAGGCAAAGTGTAGACAAGCATATATTAAATATAAGGTGTATTCTTAACAGAGAGGAAACAGAAAATGTCAATGTAAGTTGGGAAGCAAAGAGAGGTGATGTAACACTGTCTTACCTGGTGACCAGCAGCTTCCCAGTTGGATGGTAATGTCATCCAGGGCCACAAGCCCACAGTCCCAAAAGCTTTTGCAGAGGCTCATAAAAACTACCTGCAATGCATAAAAATGAAGCTATGTGAATGTAAGCGAACCAAAAATTGGAAACTCTTATAACCTATGGTTTACTCAGAAAAACAAATGTGTAGCAGCCATCTGAAAAGTTTCTTCATTATCCACATGGGTAACAGAATATTGTTGCATGCATAATGGATACTATTTATATACGGTCTGGAAATTACTTACATTAATGTTTAAACAGAAACAATCTCATAATGATATATTGTATATACTGATGCTGAAATGCCTTCTCCTTTAAATAATTGATAATAAAAGTAAGTAAAGCAAGAAGTTAACTGGTGGTAGAAGAAAGTTTGTCAGGTGTTAAATATTTCCCCCAGATATAATCCACAGAGTGCAGAGATGGTCTTCCAAGCACTTTCACAAAAACATTTCCAGTACAAACACCATTGATTTTTTGAAAATGACTTTCAGGCAACACACTTCATTCATATTTTGAGTAAAGTCCCAGTGATTTGTTATCTAGAGACTTGCGTCCCGTTTCCAAAGACAAAGATCTATGTCCCTGTATGGTATCACTAATAAAAAGCCCTCAATGCTGTTATTTTACCAGGCCAAACATTTTTATTGCTGTTATGTGGAGGAAAAACAAATCCATATTATAAATTATTAAATTCATTGTGCCAGAGAGAGGGAAAAGCCTTAGATTTCTTCCCTTTAGGTCATTTTTAAAGACTACTTTTCATATGTAGGATGAGAAGAAAGAACAAAGGATTCATATTAGATTTTCACTGTAACTAATGCTTAACTCCACAATAAGGGATTTATCTTTCACTGCTTCACAAATT